CATATTTTCGGTTGTTTTCGCTATTTTATATGTTCCCACCCTTTCAACCCCGATTTCCACCACATCCTCAGTGTCGATAAATTATTAGCTGACTTTAAGGTGGGGGGAGAAGAACAATATTTTCTAAATTATTTTAGTTCTATACGTCAAAATAGCGGGTTTAGCTGTTTGTCCAATTAAACTGCATAACTGAAGTGGTCGCCGCCTGTTAGTTTTATACTAACATTTTTACTTACGATAAAATAGTAGCTCAGTTTAGTTAAAAGATATTTGGTCGTAGTCAACAACACCCGCACAAATAGACAAGAGACGATGATGGTATAGAAGGTAGTAGACGCCGTTCCAACTAGCGTATCGGTCAAGCGCGCGTTAAAGTCCTGCCGCAACAGATCCACTTCGTCGCGCACGTGAGGTGCATCATAGACCACCTTGAGACAGTTGTGACACAGTACAACGATCTGTCGGTTCGGCGGTCGCATAGAGTAGAAGGTCAGCAGTTCGCGACTGTACATTTCCAGCTTAGCGGAGGAGCCGCCGGTACCGCTGGCATAGAAGCTGATGCTGTTCGTCTGTAGCGTAGCATAACGAAGAGGCAAGAGGGTGGAGAGGCGAGGCGTTCGACCGCCGCTGCCGCTCACAGATCCGGCTTTGCGGCACGCCATAACGGTTGAGTAGGCCTGTTTGGCCAGCTGTGGTTCAGAGTAGATGGAAAAAACTGATTACGGTGGTGGTGGTGGTGGTGGTGGTGGTGGTGGTGGTTGTGATGGCGCGGACGGATGGAGCGATTGTGGGGGTGTGCACGGTGGATGTGTTAGATGTGGTTGGTCTGTCGGGATTGCGGTCAAGGCCGATGTCGTGGATGCTCATGCGGCCGAAAAGCCCATGTGTTGTCTGAAGGTGCGAGGGCAGTGTGGGCAGTGGAGGCGAGTGTGGTGGGTGTAGGTTGGTGCCGCTCGAACTGGTTCGCCAGGCGCTGTGCGATGGATTCGCAAGTGACCGACCAGGCCGATGTTTTAGGCGATGGTACGGTCTCAGTGAGGGCAGGTATAGTCCTGATCCTCATCGTTGGATTCGGGGGAGGTGGTGGTAGTGTCGGTTGCTGTGCGTGGGACAGTCGCCTGAGCTGCCGCCGTTGGGGCAGTGAGCGGGGATGATGATGGTGATGATGATGATGATGATGATGATGATGATGATGATGATGATGATGATGGAAGTGGTAATTCAGAATAATTGTCGGAGTTATTTGGCTGCGGAGAGGAGGAGGAAGAGGCGGACGGTGGGACGATGGTTGGTGCCGTTCGAGAGGCGCAGTTAATCCAAAGATACCCAACAATTCCGATTCGAGCCCGGAATGTCCGTTGACATAGAGGACACGCTGGAAGTGGTTGTGCGGCGGCGTTGCTTACTGGGCGAAGTTGTGATTTGCGGGTTTCACGTTTCGTTTTGGCGGCAGCGATGCGGTTGGCTTCGTAGATCGCAGCGCCTGTCTTCACTGTCCTCCTCCAGGTCGGTCGATCGAGTGCGAGCTCCTCCCAGTTGGTGGGGTTGATTTGCAGGCGTTTCAGGGAGGACTTCAGGGTATCCTTGTAACGGCGAATCTGGCCCCCTTGACGGCGAGAACCCGTCGCGACGTCTCCGTATAACAGTCGTTTGAATGGTCGCTCGTAGTCCATGCGTACCAGGTGGCCGCTCCATCGCAGCAGGTGTGTTTGATGTTGGTGCGATGATTGTTCGACCATCTCTGACCCACCGACCATGGCTTCGGGAAGAGTGTTCACCTGTGCTCTGCACGCGTGGCTAATTACTCCGGCTAGACGAAGTCTCAGTACCGAGTATGGAAGGGGAAGGTCGTTGCACTTGTTAATACACCGGGAGTCAGTGAACCATGACACAAGCAGGTCGCAGCTCATGCGGTTGTCATCTCTAGCGAGAGTTTCAGCCTACATCTACGGTTTCAAGTAGTTGATTGTCCAGGAGGTTCTGTCGTGAGGGTGCATTTGTGCTTCGCCTTGCTGATACTATGTGTACCACAGCACATTTTGACGCTGAATTGCTTGCACCATTTCTCACTGCATGCGTGCAAATTCCGTACGTCAGCTTGTAGAATCTTGACGTCTTTTTCATCTGTTATCTCCCTCCGAATTTGAAGATCGTCTGCAAAGAGCACTATGTCCGAGGTCACTTCCCGTACTAGATCATTTACATAGATAATGCATAGGAGCGGCTCAAGAACTGACCCCTGTGTGGACTCCAATTCTATCAGATGCCCATTCTCAACAGTAGCCACGCGTAGTGACTATTTGTCTACGACCCTTTAAGAAATCTTGAATCCAGTTCAGTAGATTGCCTCTTAGTCCTACACCTGAGAACTTTTGAATGACCAGGATATCAACCAACACAAGAGAGATTTGGAGGCTGGCACGACCGAAACCGAACCTGGGCGTGCCGCCAACGCCTGGCTCGGATCCCACACTGTGATGGGCCCCAATATCGCTCGATCCTGGCTAGCATCAACTTGGAATAAGGCATTCAGTACCTGGACAAGCAAGGTAAATTTTGCGTCCTACGTGTCGATCTGAATATGGGCAAGGTACTAAACACTGAGGGATATGCAGATTTGAGGCAGAATGAGAGATGGAATAGGAAATGTGTTCATTGTAAAGGAGAACGGCATGAAATAACCACAAAGGACTATATTTGGTGAATAAATGTGCAGGAGAAATGTTTAATGTAGGCAAAGAACGAGAACAAGTAGCGCTGCAACGGTATGAACGCCGGATAGGCACAAGTTCTGAGCGCCATTGCCGGAACCGCCGTCTCCACCAGTGTGACCACCGTCACCCGATTGATCGCCAGATCCACCGCCGACGCCATCGCCGGAACCGCCGTCTCCACCAGTGTGACCACCGTCACCCGATTGATCGCCAGATCCACCGCCGACGCCATCGCCGGAACCGCCGTCTCCACCAGTGTGACCACCGTCACCCGATTGATCGCCAGATCCACCGCCACTGGCCTCATCCTTATTGACCACAGTATCTGCCATCACCGCTGAATTCACTGAAGTTTTCGGAGGAGATGAATTAATTGCAGTCAGCATCTGTTGACAATATTTTGCCAATGGATTAATTTCAGTACACACAGGGCTTACCTTGCTTCAGAATGCCAACAACCACTAGAAGGCTGAATACCAGCTTCCACATTGCGGTGCTTTGCAGCTGCAACAAGTCGAACAAATCGAAGACATTGTCAATTGTGTCCTTTCTTCTACTTCAATGGTTCACACTTATTGCAATCTGATCTTACTGTCCTACCGATTCGACATATTCATATTAACAATGAGTTAGCTCTGCACTTAGGTCTCTTAACTTACCGAAAGTAGTTCGGGTACCTTAAACTGCGACAATGACTGCCTCTTTAAATAGGCGATAGGACAGGGTTTGATTGGTTTCACTACGAGTCCGGCAAGGTCACGCGTTGCAGCCTGAATGACTGGCATTACAGTCATTTGCTGTGCTTGAGCTGCGTAGGCACCGCGATGTCTTGATGATTACGATGACGTAAGTTCGAATTCAAGCGCTCTCCTGTGTGTCTTAACGATGAAATTGCCTGCATAATGCAGTCCAGCCGAAATCTTGCATGTCACATTGCCTACTGAATGAATCAAAATCCGAAGTATGTCTTCCTCCTTCATACCTTCACATATGCCCCTAGGGAAGCAATGCCATTCAAATGATTGCCTCAGCAAAGTAGACCTTCATAATTTGTTTAGATGTTCTCACGAGCGTGGTCAGGCATGGTTAATTTGTGTGGTTCATCCAAAGCACCTTACCAACCAGATGTTGTTGGCATCATTTGCGTAACATTGGGCTTCTTTGTGTGTGTGTGTGTGTGTGTGTGTGTGTGTGTGTGTGTGTGTGTGTGTGTGTGTGTGGGGTGTAGGGGTGTCCAGCGGTGGGTTCACGTGAAGGTCGTAGTGGTCGCTCACTTGCTTGCAGGTGAGACTACGCCTAGCGTCCATTTACTGGCACCCAACTCTCAACTGTGGCTCCACGTAGCTGGGCTCTGCTCAGCGGCCACACCCCGGGCAACCGCCTCGACCG